CAGCAGGCGGCCCTGCTCGAGCAGCCGCAGCACGCTGCACGTGGCCGCCGTCTCGGACACCACCGAGCGCAGCTCCGAGTCCTTGCCCTGGTCCTTCTTCTGCTTCGTGCGCCGGTTCTGGAACCAGACCTTCACCTGCGCCCCGGACGGCGGGGAGGGTGGGAGAGAAGAAGCGCAGAGACCAGGCGTCAGGGAGGCCCAGGGTCCCTTTCCCAGCCCCACCCAGCAGCCGAGAGGGTGAGGCCCAGAGTCGGCACCACGAGGGCCACACAGCACCACTGGGATTCGATTCCGAGCCAGGGATTCCAGGCCAGGGCGGTCTCCAAATACCAAAGGATCGAACCCGAAGGGAAATCAGAAGGACTTTCACAGGCCACGGTGCAGCCCAGCTTGGGGCGCAGAACTGTGGGGCAGCAAGGCCTGAGCACTGCTGTTTAGGAAGCAGGAAGCCAGGGTTTCCAAAACCTGTCTCTAGGCCTTTTAGGACAGAGGGTCCCGGTGCAAAGGCTCAAATCTAACTCCAGGAAGGGTGAGAGCAGCAATAACTTGTTTTCTGTTTGCCCGAGCCCGGAGCCCGAGCTGACCGTGAACTAGGAAAGGAGACCGTGGAAAGGGCCAGGAGGAAGGCCTGGCTTCGCAGGCCAAGCGTTCTCCACCCCTCTTCCGTACCAGCTGGGATGCTCATAATTTATCATGCTACTGCTAACTCTGAGATTCCTAGCAGGGAGAGGATAGCAATGGGCCAGGCTTTTTGGTCTAATTTTGGAGGAAACCAGGGGAGAGGAGTGGACTGAATTCTCTCCCCTCAGCTCTCTTCCCCTGTACTGTCATACCCAGCTGGGCCCCAGCACAGAACTGGGCAGCTCTAGGGAAAGGACACCTCAATTTTTGTAAACTAGGATGGAGAGAGCTGCAAAGCTACCGTACCAACTGAGACTCAAAAAGAGCATTGTCTGTTCCCGCCTCAGTATCCAGCTTTGCCTCCGAATCCCACACCCAGCATAGCACGCACTGGCTTCCGGGCTGATCAGAAGGAGAGCTGTCCTCCCTAGGCCCATGACAAGCACATCCTGACCAGATCCTATATGACCTCTACAGGGCAAAGAGCTCAGGCTTCAGTGTCACTGGGCCCAGGGTCCCCACCACCAGCTCCAATTACATCCTCATGGAGTTAATGTGAAGGACAAAACCAAAGCGTGCACAGGACAGTGTCTAGCCAGAGCCCAAAGTGGTGCCCAGGGTTGGGGATAGCCCCAGGCACAGCGGAGGTTAGGAGGACAAGGGGCAGGGCTGCCCAGGTGCACAAGTGGCATTTCAGGCGTGAGCCTTTCTAATCCCAACGACTCACCCACAGCCTGACCCAGGGGGTGTGAGCCTCATCCTCACTTCCTGCAGAATGGGTCTACTTTATACTGAAGAAGGTGACGGCCGCGGGAAATAGGGCCAAAATGAGGTGCTCAAGCAGGTGCAAAAATCAGTTCCTCACAGACCAGAAACAAGCAGGAAAGAGGGCCCCCAAAAAAATATATATATATATTTTCCCCCCCAGAAAGACAGAATCTGGGGCCTCCTGGGCCAGGCCTGGGTGGAAGCTCTGGGCCTGCGTGGGGAAGGACATGGCTGTGGAAGCACACAAAGCCTTGGGCCTTTCTCCAGCGTCCTCCCATCCCCTCTGCCTGTCCCCGGAAGCTGTGCAAGGTGGAGAATGAAGAGCCGCTGGGAGTGGGAGGGAGGGAGGCCGGCCTCTGGGTACCTGGGTCTCGGAGAGGTTGAGCTGGCGAGCGAGCTCGGTCCTCTCGCGGCCCACCACGTACTGGCAGCGCTGGAACTCCATCTCCAGCCGGTAGAGCTGCTCCGCCGTGAAGGACGTGCGCGTCCGCTTGGGCCGATCCAGATCCAGGCCCTTGGGCAGGATGATCTCCCGGATGGACCCCTTGGCATCTGGGGAACGGGAGACGCCTGCCATCAGCACCCTCCTTCGCCTCCCTGACCAGGGGTGGCTCCGCGGACACCATCCGAGCGGTCTGCAGTCCCAGGGGCGGGGAGCGGGCCACAACCGGGGAGGTGCGGCGCTGCGGGGGTTTGCGGGCCCAGAGACTAACTCCACAGCGCTGAGGGCGGGGGCTCCCCGGGCAGAGTAGAAAATAATTCGAGGGGCTGTTCCTTCCGGCCCAGGGGCTTTGGCTGCTTGGCTGCACTGTTGGGTCCCCCCTCTTGCGGCTCGCGCCCCTCCGCCTTGTCTCTGGGGAGCGTTTTCCCTCCGGACCGAACAGCGGGAGGAGCGACCCAGAGGGGCCGCGCTTGGCCCTGAGATCGCGGGCGGGGCGGTGCCGGCCTCTCCGCCCGGAGCCCAGAGCCGAGCGCGCTGCGCGCAGCCGCCCGGGGGCCGAGGACGAGACGCCGCGCGCCAGTGCAGGCCCGCAAAGGGGCCGTTCCGCGCTCACGTCCTCCAGAGTCCCCACTCCCTCCCCGGCTCGGAGGCCGCAGCCTGGGCCCGGCTCCGCGCGCGGTTCCTCGGCCTCGGGCAGCTTGGCCGGCGGGGCCCGGGGCTTGGAGAGCCGAGGCCCCTGGAGCGCGCGCCGGCGGGGCCCCCGGGCGGGCGGCGGCGGCAACTTTGTCCGAGTGGCAGCGGTGCCCGGCTCGGTCCCGGACAAGCCGCAGCCCCGCGTGCCTACCTCGCACCAGGATGCGGCGGCAGTAGTCAGGGTCGCCGGCGGCGCCCGCTTTACTTTTGTTACAGTCTTCGGCGGCGCTCGAGGCGAAGGCGCCCTGCGGCTCCTTGAGGAAGGCGGCGGGGAGGCTCCCGTCGGCGCCCTTGCTCTCCCGGCCGTGGCCGTCCTTGTGCGCGTTCTTCGAGGCCCGGGCAGCCTCGGCGTCCGAGTGGCACCGAACGTCCATTTTGTCTGGTTTCCCGAACATAGGAGAGGCAAGAACAACAAAAGGGAAGAAGAAAAAGGAGGGAAGAAAAAAAAAAAAAACAACCCACAACCCCAACCAGCAGAGTGGGGACGAACCCCCAGAACGCAGCCCCCACGCGGGGCCCAGCGAGCGACGAGCGGCAAGTGTCCCCGCCGGGCGGCTGCGGCTCAGCGGCGACAGCCAAGTGGCGCGCTGGCCCGCAGGCGGCCGGTCCGGTCCGGGATCCGGGATCCGGAGGCGCAGCGGCGAGGCCGCCTGGTCAGCGCCCGCGTCCTCCGAGCACGTCCAGTGTCCCCAGCCTGGCGATCGGGGAGCGAGCAGCGCGACTCCCGGATGCTGCCGCGCGCGCCTGTGCCGAGCCGGCGACTCGTCGTTGTCCGACACCCGGGGGGACGCGCACTCGCTGCTGCAACTGATTACGGGTAATTTCGCAGCCCCCACGTTTCGGTTACCTCATGAATACACTAAATTGTTTGGATAATATATCAGATCGTAATGGATGGTTTCTGTCCTTGTCCCCAATCAAGTAGGGGTTTAGCCAGTGAATAAACGGAAATGATTGGTCTTGCTTTCAGGAAACACACAATCAAAGACCCACACTTCCAGAAAAACTTTTGACAAGATTCATCCTGAATTGGTGGTACCATTAGCAGGCACCATTAACTTCCCTTTGCCTTTGACCCTCCCGCACACGTACTGGCTGGAGAGGGGTCCCCGCCACACTCGCCAGATAGCGCTGAAGGAGGGGGGCGGGGAGGGGAGCCCCGGCCCCCGCACACACACTCGCTGCAGCAGCAGCAGCAGCAGCAGTAAGCAGTGGCCCGGGTGGGGGAGGAGGGGAAGGAAAACTTTCCCTAAACAAAGTGTCTCCCGCGCTCTCAAGAGCCGAGCCTGCGCCCCAAAAAGTCGTCCTTAACACACCTCGCCGCTGACAGCCATCTTAAACTGCCATCTCTCGTGCTTTAATTCCCGTTGGGTTTGTTCATGCCCGCACCTCCAGCAGCCGCCCGAGCAGCCCTTTCAAAGGGCAGCTTTGTGCTCAAAGTCCAGCGGGAGAGAGAGGGGGAGAGGGAGAGAGAGAGACAGAGAGAGAGAGAGGGAGAGGGAAAGGGCGAGGGCGAGCGCAGAGAAAATCTCAACTGTGAGATCTGCTTCAAAAAAAAAGTTTTCCCCCAGCTATTTCATTGTCTCTGCTACAATATCTTTGAGAAAAGCAACAGCCAGTAATCCAATAAGAGCATTGATTAGGCTACAATGATTCAATTCAAGCGCATGGCCTTGTGCAAGGAGCATGCTCCAGCCCTTCTCGTCACCTTGCCGGGGCAGAAGCCCTCTCCACGCCGCTCTCCCCATTCATTCCTTTATGGGAAATGCGGAGCAAAAGGAGTGAAAGATGGCAATTATCTAATTGGACTATTAACAAACAGTCCTCTGAGTGCGGCGGGCTGGCGTGGCTCCTGGGCGGGGGAAGGGCCCTGTCCCTGCCCTCATTCACAAAGAGCGCAGGGGCCGGAGGAAAGGGGGCTTTTTAAACGGAGTGGGGAGGAGAGGAGAGGTGGGAGGTTTGGCTGAGAATTTTTCCACACAATTCCAAGAATGGGGGCGGAGGCGGGCGGGGGAGGGGGCTGGGGGTTGAGGGGAGCGGCGAGGGCGGGGGCGCGAGTGTGGGTGGCGGCTCGAGGGCTCCGCTCAGCCCGGCGCGCCCCGCCAGCCCCGCGCCACCTCCTCCGCCTCGGGTCGCCCGGACGGACAGCCGGGAAGGAGTGGGGTCTCTCGGCTCCACCTGGGGCAAATCCCCATTCTGCCGGGCTCCTGGGGTGTCTTGGGTCCTGGAGGCAGACCTCAGGGTGTATTTTAAGGAGGGGTGTCCAGGGCTGTTTTCTGGTGGGACTGGGGGTTCCCCCCCATCGGCCGGGATCGTGGCCTGGGTGCGCTGCTGGGCACCGCCTGCTCCTCCCGCGTCCCAGGCTGGGAGAGGTGGGCTCGAGGTCCTGCAGTTCTCAAGATGCTCCGGGTTAGACACAACCCCACCACCTCTGGGGTCACTTCCCGTAGGCAGGCGCCGGTTTGGGCCTCCAGGCTGCGCTCCCATGCAGGTCTGATGGTTGGGAAAACAGCACCACGGCCTGCCTCCCGGTGCTGCACCACCCACCGGCCCCTCGGATGTGGCCTCGGCCATGGGTGGGCCGGCCTTTGTTCCCCACGAGGCTGCTACTGAGGCCAAGTCAGGGTGTGAGGTGGCGCTGGGTGCACCCTGAGGCCTGTCCTTGCACCACCTCCCTTGCGCAGCTGGAGGGGGCTCCTCATCACACTGTCAGGAGACCCAGAGTCCCAGACCTCAGTCTTCCTCCCAGGGCGCACCAAGTCCCGTGACCGCCTGCTTTGTGGCCCCCAGACTCACGCGGACACTCGTGGCGCTTAAAGCCTGCGAGGAGAAGAGTGGAGGGATTTTAAGAGTAGAAACGGCTCAGCCCTTTTCCCTTTCTCTTGGGGGGGGGCATCAGTCAGGAGCCAGTGCGGCCCTCACACTGGCAGCGGCTTCTCCCAGGCCCTCCTCGCAAAGGAATGCCCTCCACATCTGCCTGTAAGTGGGAACTAGGGGGCATCGGCAGGCGTTAAGAACTTATTTTCCCTCAAGCCCTTGGAGTAACACTCTTGTGTAACAAATAGGAATCCAGAGGCTCAGAGGTTCAATACCAGTCCAAGTCACACCGTTGTTGCTAAATGGGGAAACAGAACTCAATCTGACTTCAAAACCATCCACACTTTCTTCGGCCAAGCGCCTGGTGCTCCGCCCCTTTTTATGTCCAAAAGCGTTCTTTTTGGAATTTTCTCCGCCAGTGTCTTGACCACAATTGCACATGGGACACAGGAATGGCATCTTCGTTACCTCCAGCAGTTCTGATGATAAACACCCATTTCCATCCGTTTGATCCATATGGAGATATTCATATGAATTAAGTTGCCTGCCCTCGACTACCTGATCCTTCACAGGGTTTTCAGATGGTAAATTGCGCTGGAGAAGGTTGCTCATCCTTTTCTGGTGGATTTGAACTGCTTGCCTTTGTGTTGGAAGTGCAACTCTCTACCCAGTAGACCAACAGAAGAACCCCAGAACATGACCTCTAAATGGAAACATGAACACCTCGCTTTGTTAATGCTCTTTCCTAGCTTTGTTAATGCTCTTTCCTAGGAGTCGAGCTCTCTCCACATTAGATCTGAAGTGCCTCAAATGCAGCTTCTCAGGTCTCAGGCCTCACCCCTTTAAAAAGTTGTGATTTGATGTTATAAAGCATTTTGATTTTCCATTCAATCATTCACACATATTTTTTTTCCAAAGGAAAAAAACCCCACTCAACCAGGATGCCTTATCCACGATGTAACCACATTCTTCCCACTTCCTTCCTCTATTTCTGATTTCTACTAATCCTTCTATGTGTAATGTCACTTCCCACCTTCAGAGCTTGATCTCTGGGCAAAAAGTGTTCTTTGAACTTTGTTACTGTACCTTCCAGTGGGATTTCTGAGGCAGTAAATTGCACAGGATACTGCCCATTTCTCTCCTGTGGAACAGCTATTGGATTTTGAACTTTGTCCCTTTAGGAGAGGAAGACCCTCACTGAGAAGGATCGGTTCTGTGACTGGAGTGGTGGTGTTTGAGACAGGAGGTTGGCACAGGATAGAACGGCCTGTAGGGCTCTTGCACATAGGGTCGCTATGAGTAACAAGCGACTTGATGGCACATAGCAACAACCACCTTTAGATTGGTAATGTAACTCCTTTCGGGTGATCATTCTAAGGAACTTGATGGCTTTTGGGGGGTGTGTCAAACTAGAACTATGCTCCTTCAGAGGTTTGAATGACTGGATTTTGGAAGTTTATCACAAGGCCTTTCTTTCCAGAAACCTCTAGGGGGACTTGAACCACCCATCTTTCAGGTAGCAGCCGAAGACCTTAACAGCTGGCAACCCTCGAAGCTCCTTGGGTCTCCTGACTGCACTGTATCCAGAATGTGCATTTCTGGCAGGCAGCCTGGGAAAGTTCTCCTACAGTTTAAATAGGAAAACCCAGGGTTAGGGCCCCACTCCGCTTCCATGGGGTGGAAACCTTCTCTCTTAACCTAGAACACATATGTTTATTGGGGAAAGTGAGGAAACAGGTATTCTGTGAGACCGCCTAAGTTAATCAAGCAGACATTTAACAAGAGCCAAGGAAGCACTTTGGATGTCCCCTAACGCAATACATCTCTCATCTCCAAGCTTCAAGGACAAGCCCGCCAACTACGGAGGACAAGCTGCAGTCCCAGCTCTGGGCTGGCAGCATGAGTGGTGCGGTTTATTGATGACCCCCGTATGTTCTAAGTCCTTGAAACAACAAATTCAGTCAGGAACAGTCGAGCCATAAGACTAGTTTTGCTTTTTGTTATGCATGGCACTCCCCCTCCCCTCTGGTGCCTGGATTAAAATTCTGTGGGCATCCACCCAGAAAAACCATGACAGGTTTCTGAGGACACAGTGGAGGACGGAGCCTGGGGATGGAAATTTCAGAAAACAGCTGCTGCTTCCAGGAAAACTAAAGCTGTGTCCATGACTGAAGAAAGGGGCAAACGCCATTATGTGGAGAATCTGAAGCTAGTTCATCCTGCACAATATGTGTGAAACACAAGTGAGGGTCTCTTGTTCTATTGATAACATCTGCTTCCCTCCTTAGTCTTCAGAAGAGAGTCCTGACGGCACAGTGGTTAAAGTGCTCGGCTGCTAACAAGGTCAGTGGTTCAAACCCACCAGCCACTCCACACACGAAGGATGAGGCAGTCTGCTTTAAAATTTAAAGATTAACCACCTTGGAATCCCTGAGGGGTAGTTCTACTCTGTTCCACAGGGTCACTCTGAGTGAGAAATGATTTAACCCGCAGGTCAGACAGAGCTAGGATATAGAACTGGAGGGCTAGAAGGAGTATTAGAGATCATCAATTCCAGAATCTTCATCTAGCTTGACAG